GGGACAGGCCTAGCATTCACCTCACTGCCAGTGGTTTTACTGAGATGGAAGTATGCCAGGCAGCTGGAAAAAGGTGAGGACAACCAGCAGGCTTTGCTGGAACCAAGATATAAAACTACAGGCATCTCACATCTTATGCGCATTTAACTTGTGCAAATTCAACTATACGCGGGTGGGGAGGGGGGGTGGGGCTTGACTCTGCATGTGGCGCTGTCACTTACCTGGAGGCCCAGCCACCACCACGCTGCTAGCAGTGACTGGCTCTGCCTCCCAAACCCATGGAGCCGTGCCCAGAGCTATGTGGCTGGCCGCTGGGTGTGGTGGTGGCCGGGCGGCACGCAGCCATCCCCACCACCCCCCTGCGCGGGGCCGCTGCTGCCGGCCGCACAGCTCTAAGTGTGGCTCTGTGGCAGCAGTGGGAGGTTTTGGAGGCAGAGGCAGTCACCACTGGCACGGTAATATGCGATTTCATTATATGCAATTTTTGCCTTTACATGCTGCCTTTAGAATGTAACCCCCGCGTAAGATGCGGGATGCCTGTATTAATGTAATCAATCTGCAAAATCAGTTTGTTTAGACACCTTATATACACCCTAATAAGCAGCAGTTTCACAAATGTGGATGTACATATTTACAGCAAATATATGCCACTAAAGCCAAAGGTAAACTAATAAAACTGGTAAGGGAGACCCACCTTTCCAATCTCAATGAGTTTTGAGAAAATCTGCAACATTTAATTGCTCGTTTGCAAAACTGTCATTATGGATTTTTATATAAATAAGCATCTAGCACTGGCTTCAGATATTTATACTTTTTAATGAAAAAAATTAGGGGTGTTTTATTCGCTCAGTACAGAAATGTGGAGTTCTGCCTGCCTATATGCTGGGAGACAACATTATTTAAGTTATAAATTATGGGGCTCAACTTTACAGTATTCTTAGAAGGTAGAGAGTGCTCTCAATTTAGCTTCCTAGAACAGTCTAGTCTATTGTACACACAAAAATACAAACTACCCAACTGCACAGCTGATTGCAGTTTTTATTCAGCTTTTTTGGAAACTACCAGGAAGAGGCAGAAGTGATACATGCTGACAGAATACTGGCATTAAAATAAGCCCTTTTAAAGACCAACTCAAGACTTTATAACTGATTCAATACAAATAGCAAATGTCGTACTCCACATATTTTCTACATATTATCTGTCAAAACAACCCCACAGCTATATCAGTTGTGTCAAATTAAAAAACTCTAATAAAAAATAAGATTAGACTTTTCTTCCAATATACAGTATAGCAAAAGTATCACAAAAGCAATCCAATGTGGTGCTTACTAAACTAGGTTAAAACATTTTTCAATGCCCCAATTTTATAAGTAGCAGCTCACATGCAGGAGTTCCAACAAATGTAGTCATAAAAATATACAAAGAAATTCTGTAACTCTAAAAAGTTCATCTAACAATTTACATTAGGGGTGCACAGATAGGGATTTTTGGGGCCGATATCGATAGCTAATTTTTAAGGAGGCATATCGGCTGATACCAATCCGATTTCCGATACACAGCTCTTCAGCCTGTTGTGAGGGAGGAAATGGGGCTGGGGCTGACCAACCAAAGTGGGGAGGGACATGGGACTGGAACAGGGACAGAGCCGAAAGTGGCTTGTCTAGGGGATGGAGGGTGTGCCCCCTGAACCAGCACTGAGCGGGCTGCAGCTGTGGGTTGGGACCAGGGTGGGCACGGGACGGAGGCATGGCTTGTTGGGTTGGAGGGTGGCTCCCGCTGCTGTGTATAGCTCATCTGGTGTTTATCTGGAGGCTCCTGCTACTGCACCCGCCACTTGTCTGGGAGGGCACAGTGTGGGGGAGAGGCTGGGGGGTGGCGCTGGGGCCAGTCTCTTTCCAGCCACCAGATCCAGGAACACCCCCACCTCCCAGACAAGCTGTGCACAGCAGTGGGAGCCACCCCACTTCCTGTGCCCACCCCAACAAGCCGTGCCTCTGTCCTGTGCCCACCCCAACTCGAACCCCAACCCCACACCCTCCCTCACTGCGGGAGCCTTGATCTGCCCCCCATACTCCTTCCACCACACCAGACTTACCAGCTGCAGGCTGCACTCCACGCTGCCAGCTCTGCTCCACACTGCCTATGTGCTGCGCTGCTGCTGCGCACATGCATGGGCATTTATTGGACAAATTATTGGCTGCATCAGGCCGATTTCTAATACAGAAAATTTTCTTTATATTGGTGCTGATCCAATATCAGACTGATGTATCAGTGCACCTATATGTATTTCCTTTGTGTTGATACGCAAATATCATAAAAATACAAATCAAAATGTACCAATAATATGACTACATATTGTGGGCACGGTTTTAGTGATAGGTAACAGGTATTTAAGCTCTCATAATTTAAACCACACACAAGTCTTAGATGAAGTTACAAACATATATCAAACAATTTCTTCTTCTATATAATTATTCTGTAAGGACAAAAAGAAATTCTCCTACCTGAATTAAAATGTGGGTTTTTCCATAGGAAAGACCGATACAAATTAGAAACATCTCATGGAGAAATAAGATTAGGCAACAATCCTAAATAGACTTGGCGCAGATAAGACTTCCTCCTAGCTGACAGCATGGACATAGTGACAGCCACAATGGATCAGCACAACAATCCATCTTTACTAATGTCCTATCTTTGACAGCAGCTAGTACCAGGTATCAGAAACCTTACAATAAGCAGTTCTAGAATAACTAGCCCATTGGGAAGTTTGTTTTTTTAGCTGCTAACAGTTAGCACTTGGCTTTCACTACAAGGTTCCCCTCTTATTTGTAACATAACTCTTGACAGCTCTTTCTGTATCCATACTCAGGTCTGATCCTTTTTTGAAACTTTTTACATTCTTGGTCTAAATTATCTCTTATGACCATGAGTTCCATGGGTTAAATAATGTAAAAATTTTACCAGTTTTAAATTTGTCACTCAATTTAATTACATATCTCCTCATGTTTCATTTATTACAAGAAAGAATAATCAAAAGAGCATGATTTAACCTCTCTGCACCATTCATTATATTCTGCGCTTCTATCTTGACCCCCGTCTCATTCATCTTCCTTTGTTCACTCTTACCTTATGGAAAAGTTGCCTCATCTCTCTAATCAATTTGATTACCTACTCCTGGGCCTCTTGTACTTCTGCTGTAGTTTTCTGGAGAAGAGGCGATTAAAACTGAACACAGCATTACAAGTTAAGAGCATGCCATTGTCTTATACAATGGCATTATATGCTGAGTATTATAGTCTATTCTTCAAATACCTTAAGACAGTGTTGTTGTTTTTTTAACTGCGATGCCACAAGACCCTTTACTGGTGTTACAGTGTCAAGCCACAGCAAGATGAAATTGCTCGGGGCATCTGTCTCCAGGAAACACATGGAGGGCCGTACCAGAAAACAGCTGTGGCAAAGATGGGTGCTCATGCCTGCATTAGATTTATCAGGTACTTGTTTCTGCCACAGGGGCTTCCAAGTCCAGCCCTGCACATGCCTCCTGGAAACAGAGGAACACAGAGCAGCTTCACCTGGCCCCAGTGGCAGCATGAAAGCTTGGAGATAAACATGATGAACACATACCTTTATCTCAGTTACAACACAGTTAAACTTAAAAGGCCAGACACTCAGTTGGTGAGGATCAACACTGCAATCACCAACAGTCAGTGTAGTTTACACTACGAAAGGTTCTTGCCCAAAGTAATCCTGCTCAAATCATAGAGCCATAGAGAAGTAGGGCTGGAAAGAACCTCCGCAGCTCATCCAGTGCAACCCCCTGCCTGAGGCAGGATCATCCCTATCCAAGTCATCCTATACAAATTGATAATCTAACTTCTTAGTAAACCTACCATCAACCCTGAAAAAAACAAGACACAATACCCTAACCTGCCATTGGTAAAGAAAGGGAACCACAGCAGCAAACATCCTTCTTCTGTAAAAGGGTGCTAATATACACTCAAGAGAATCCAAGTAGAAGGTCACACCCCTGCTACAGAGAAAGGCAAAAATTCCCCTTGGTCCATACCAATCTGACCATGGGGTAAAATTCCTTCTGGACCCCAAATATGGTGATTGGTCTGACCCTGAGCAGAGGGGCAAGATCCTGAAGTCAGGAACCTCCAGCTTTAGGTGGTGAAGCATTGTGTCTTATGTAAGTGAGATGGGAGTAGGGCACTATATTAAACACTATGCAATAGTTTCTCTCAGGGCTTTTCTAGGATGTCAGAATTATTAGTTACCCATTCCAGCACTATGATGCAGAAGGCATGTTCAGCCAGCCCCTTGACTGTAGTGATAAGACCTAGTGCAGTGGTTCTCAACCAGGGTGCTGCTAAATTCAGAGAAGTTATGGAGGGGTGCCCTAAATCTAAAAAGGTTGACAACTACAGCTCTAAGAACTGAATGCAATGCAGAGCATAAAGGACAAGAACTAAACTATTCCTGATATCAGGATGTAAAGAGATGCATGCGTGTTTCGGGAGGATCTCCCAAACACGCACAATCAGTGACTGTTCCCTTACAAATTCTCAAATTACGTATATGTTTGGAACATGTTTTCAAATAATGAGTGACGCTGGAAGGACTCAACTTGATTTACTGCCTCCCACTTCACCCAGTACTAGTTGATACCACCTGAACCCCTAATGAAAATGGCTGCTACAACACACCCAGAATCTGACAGTACACCCAACATCCTTTACTTCTCCGTCACAAGTATTTGTCTACAACCTTTATCATCAGGTTCAAACTGAAACTGAGCCAATTAAAAACATCTGGGGAGGAAAAAGCAACGAGTGATCTGAGCACTTTCTACTGAAAATGAGAAAAAACACCAGCCCAATGTGAAGGATTGCACTGAAACTCTTCTAAACAGGCACACTTTCACTAGCCCACCTCCTTTTTTTAGCAGGAAGGAGGGGTTGTGCCCTGAACTTAAAGGCATAGAAAGTACTAACCACAGTCCTGGGAGAGGAGACTATTCAAGTATGGGAAACTGATCCTCTTCAGTTCATCAAGCTTCTCTTTCAGCTTTCTGACCTGACTGTCAGAGCGGCTGATTCTCTGCCTCAGCAGCTTCAGTTCTCCATTTTTCTTCTCTACCTGCTCACGCAGGCAGCACACTTGACTTTTGCTTTGCCTAGAGGAGAAACAGTATGAATGGAGGGAGTCTATGAGCTTGCATGCTCCTGAGGCAGACATAATGACTTCATTGATTGACATGGGGTTAGCATCTGTGTCTCCTTTCTGACCTACCACAGCCTCTGTTGCCGGCTGTGGGGTAAGGTCTGCAGGGGATGCTGACAGACTTTGGGATGGCTTCTGAGGGGTCACTGTAAGTGATGAATTAGGGGAACTTTCTGCCAAGTTCTTATCATGCCCCATGATATTGCTACTGCAGCTTGGCTCCACATCTCGCTTTGGCCGTTTCCTCTCAAGTTGCTCCCTTGGGAATGATGGTCTCTCCCTGGTGTGCTTAGAGGAAAAGCTGTAAGAGTGGAGGGAGCCAATAAATTTGCAAGCCCCAGATACTGGAGGTGTGAAGTCATCAATCGATATACCGCTTCTATCTGTTATCCAACTGCCGGTATGGATGGTGGCTTCAGGACACTCCTCTTCAGGCAGTCTTTCTGGCTTTTTCTGGGTTCCTGTCTTTGAAACTAAGTTATCAGCTAACGTCCTTCTCAGAGGCCCTTCCAACTGGCCCTGAATATTCTCTTCCTGCTCAGGCACTGACCCAATTTCAGCTTGCAGAGTCACTTGCTCCATCTCTTGCATTATCATAAAGTCTTGGTTGGAAGATAAGGTTCTCTGTACTACCTCACAGCCTCCTTGCCTTGTTTGTTCTCCATCGCTCAGTGGTACCTGGATTGCTATTTTTCTTCTACATTTGACATAGCCCTGGTTGTCACCTTTCTTCTCCGTGAGCTGGAAGATGGTTGGCACAGCTGTAGGCTTGAGTAACCTGTGCTGATCCTCCAGCCGTTTGGAAAAACTATCTTTGGTGAAGTGCTCACTGCAGAGAAAAGAGTACTTGGTAGGAGTCCAGTTGTCCCTCTGAACTGCTTTTAACCACTGGATCAGGCGTTTTGAGTCTTTCAGGGGGAACCTGCAAAACAGTAATCACATACAGTATTTCTGAAATCAAAGGAGGAAAATGGTCAGTAGGCAGTAAGTTCAGGAAAACAAACTTCTCTAGA